TTTGAAATCCCTGGAAATAGAAACATTCATATACCTGATCCAGGAAGCTTTATGTCCTAATTGTTAGCTATAGTAGCTATGGTTTACTAAAGTGTTTTCCATATGAAGAATGCTATTTTGTGATGGGGCTGCTTTGGCAGAGTTGGAGCCATAAAGCTTTATCAGTGAGCATTGCCATGTGAAGGAGGCCAAAAATATCTCCTAGTTGATAGGGAGTTAAATGTTAGATTGGTCATTAGCATTACGATTAGGTGGTGAAGGTCAATCTTTAGTGATGCATATGCATTAGGTAGCAATCCTATTACAACTTATGAATTAGCTCGGAATTTAATAGAGGAAGTTCGTTTGAGTGGAGTTGCTCAACCTTAAGAAAGTAAGGATCTTCTTTATAGGGAAACCCAACTGTGTCATTGAATAGCAGTAGTTTATCTTTTAGAGAGACATTGTACTCATTTTTTTTGCATTATTTTTGCAGTGAAGTGAGTGGAGACAGGGAGGTGCAACGGACAATGCTGGAATTACTTAACCAACTTGATGGTTTTAGCAGTGATGAACGCATAAAGGTCAGTGTTCTTATTTAGCTTATGATGTAAACAATATTATTTCCTTTTTGGTAGAAGCTGCCCATATGTTTGTAGCTTGATAATTTGAACAGTCTTCCTGCAGCTATATTAGCTTGTTCATCATTTGTCTTTGTAGTCTTTCTTCTGATCTGAAATTAAGTTCTTGAAATGCATCATGTGTGTTGCCTTAGACCAGATCAAGTATATCCCGATATCAATCATTAACATATATGGATAACAATACTTGAACTTCATCTGATGTCCTCCTCTTTCCTTGGCACGCGAAAATTATATACATATTCCTGAGTAGAGGCATCCATTACTAAATGCATTTTGCAAGTTAATAGTGAAGCAGTTTTCCAACTACAGTTCTAGGCATGAGTGTTTATAACAATCTATGCTAGATGCTTTATCAATATAACTAATCATGTCTGCTAGAAGTGCAGGTTTGAATTCACTTTTTGTGAGGTTACAACCGGATGAGCTTGTCTTGTAGAGTAGATAGCTGACATTTCTTTAACTTAGACTGTCATGTTAATATACCTTAAAAAGGTTTGGAACTTAAAAGCCAAACAGACCTTTGTATGTTAGAAATATGGTGCTTTAATCTTGCCCAGTCAGATAGGCTGCATCAGAGAGATGGACATATTTGCCAAAATGTGCTGTCTTCCTTTGTATTGTGCTATTGTCATGTAAGGTTGACAACAACATTAAGATAAGGCTGACTGCAACATCAAGAAATGCATTATCCTGCTGCACATTACTTTCAGATGTTTATTGGTCCTACTGCTAGTAGTTTTCTACAAGCAATTTGTAATTTCCATTACACAGTCTTATGCTATCAAGCTTAAAATGATTCTGCATGACTATATTTATTTCCTTGTTAGATTGCAGCCTTGGCAGTTAGGTTACCACCAGTTTGTGATGAGCCTTATGATGCTAGGTTTCACTTGCCTTCATCACTATATTTTGACATGCCATTATGTGGAATTGCATACATGAAAACATCTATGATTTAGCTAAGTGTTGGATGTTTGTTTATTTGCAGTTTCCTATTTCTCTGAACCAATAGAATAATGATATATGTCAACCTTTATAATTTTTTGCATATGAATTCATGTTGAAGTTACTAACCATGATATTTTGTACAAGATCTGTCAAATGTTGTCAAATTTATAAAGATAGAACTGGATCTTGATAACACATATAGTAATTAGAAAACGTTGAAGTGCTTTGTATAGGATTCATCACCTACCCTATTACCTTAGGGCTGCTTGAAATGCTGGCAACCTATGTAGCGGGTTAACCCAGAGTTTGTTGAATCTTGTTTGTGCAAGTGCCATTGGGCTACTGCCACAGCACTCGAGTCACCATGGGATTCGAAGTGGATCATCATTTAGGCCACTAAATTTATTAAATAGATCTTCTTTTGTTTCATTAAGGAGTGCTTTCATGTGGTGCTTGTTAGCAGTTGAGTAAGCAGTGTTATATGCTGAATATCCAAGGCAGAGGTCATGGCAGGTTTAGGTCTGTAGTGTGGTTGCGGGGATTACCAAATGAAATGTGAATCAACCAAGTTGGTCCTGAATGACTAATTTTTTTAAAGAGGGATAGTGCTGGCTCTTTTGCCCTATTTTTGGCCAATTCCTGGTTGGTTTCTACTGTTTTTAGCAGGTTTTGTTGGGGTTTTGAACTTATTCTTATCAATCCTAGTCTTCTTGGACATTTTCCAGCTGGTTCTACAGTTTTGTTTGATTTTGGTGATTCTTTATCAGTGCTCTCTGATCCTTGGCCAATTTCCTATTTTTTTCCAACCATCTGTAATCATTCCAAAGAAACATGTTCTCATATCTGATCTGGTCGATCATAAATCCTATGGCTAGTCCCGGATCCAGTTCTGACAGCGAACATTGCTATGTAGAGTACCCAGATGATTGGTGGGTTCCATTTGTCGGTGGATTAAAAAAAAAGAGCTAGACCAGCGAACAACCATTTATATTTAGACAATTAATTAATGTGCTCACGATTCTTCATTTTCTTATTAGAATTTGGAGACTGATGGAGCTTTAAGAGCTGGCTTGATTGGTTTTCTTTGACATGCATGGAATTACTGCAATCTCCTTCATTGTTTGGTTAACATTAGAAGTTGGTTCTTTCAAATGATTTATACTTGTTGCATCTATTAAGACTCTGCTGCTTTTATCACTTGTGACAAGGATGACAGGATCAGATAGAACAACCATGATAAACTGAAGACGTAGTAGAAAGCTAGAAATTTCCTGTTTGTAGTTTTTTTTCCTTGACTTCTGATTGTAAATCAGGATTCAAGGTCACTCTATACAGTGCTATGGAACATTTTCTTTTTCTTTTTCTTCATAGATCAGTATATAATATGAATTAGACTGGATTATATTTGCATTTTCTGAGAGACAACTTGGTAACTGCAGACAGACCATGTAGTAGCCTGTTGATTTCTCTAAGGTGTATTTGCATGTCTTAGCCAATTGATATAATTTGTGTCAAAAGTAGCATTCTGATTCCTCTCTCTCCCCCCCCCCCTTCCTCTTTTCCCCTCATTTTTTAGTTCTCTCTCTCAAAGACAAAGACATATATGCATGATTTTGGTTAATTGACAGGTTATAGCAGCAACAAATCGTGCTGACATTCTAGATCCTGCTCTTATGCGTTCTGGACGTCTAGATCGCAAGATAGAGTTTCCGCATCCATCCGAAGAGGCAAGAGCTCGAATATTGCAGGTAGCAAAAATGTTGTGTGTTGTGAGAAAATGCTTCAGTAAATTTTTATGTTGAAGAAAGCTAACATATGCTTATAATCTAATCTAGAAATAACTTGAAACGCATGTCCTCATGTTGTGAATTGAGCCCTATTTCCTTTTATCTCTGAAATTTAGATTCACTCGAGGAAAATGAATGTGCACCCTGATGTGAACTTTGAAGAGCTGGCTCGGTCGACTGACGATTTCAATGGGGCACAACTTAAAGCAGTCTGTGTAGAAGCTGGCATGCTTGCCCTGCGTCGAGATGCAACTGAGGTTCGTTCTCCTATTTTGTTTAAATTTGTGCCCTATGAAAGCTGAATCTCTGCATTGTAACATCCAATTACCTTGTTTACATGCCTGATCTAATTTAACTTGCTTAAAGCTCATTTCCTCCGGTAGTACAATCATGCATACTGGCCATTGCTTTCTGTTTCATGACTCTTCTTGTTACAATAGTCTGACTGATTTTATATTTTGATTCAGGTGACACATGAAGATTTCAACGAAGGGATAATCCAAGTTCAAGCGAAGAAGAAAGCCAGCTTAAATTATTATGCTTAGTTTAGTTCCTCGTGCTATATACCCTGTGATCCACCTCATTCCAATCTTCCCGAGTCTCTTATTTTATTCTGATTCACCAACAGCAACAGTTCTGATCATACCCTTATTCGAGACCTTTTTTTAGTGGTCATTCTCTGCACTATTTATCAAAGGTAGCGACTCATCATTTTAACTTGAGTTGTATGTGAGGCTCAATATAGTTGATCTTATACCATTACGCATTTGCATGTGTATTAATTACACTCTGGAACATCATTCATCGTTTACCTATTAGACTTATCATGCTGTACTAATGTCTTTAACATCGATAACCCTATAAAGTGCAACAGAGGACAGACATAACTGAGCTTAGCAGAGACAAAAAGACTGACGGCCTTGAAATGCCGCACTGCAATATCCCTATTGAAGCGTGCAAGTTGTTATCATCACCTAGCCATCAGTCTCGATGATTTCCAAAGCAATTCAAATAACTTCTGCACTTTCTATAAGTCTTCTGTCAAAATAGCTTGGGCACTTTTCCGTATCGTCACCAGATTGCATTCGATCGTCTCTCCAAGTCGAAATAAAGCGGTGAAGTCACGAGCAAAGCAGTGGTTTCTTTGTTCGATCAATTCGCGGTCGTGTACTGCATGCCAATCTGGACGTAGTACATTGCACCAGAAATCTCGAGTGTTATTAGCTGTTGTAGGCAGGCTGTTATATATATATATACTTAATCCATCTATCCAAAGCAACACTCCAAAACACCTCCAATATTGCCTTATTAACATTCGCCACCAACAACAGTTTTGGCCGGATAATTCTGTCCAACTATTTTTATAACAAGATGATGGCTAATTTAACTGATAAAGATTTGACAGATGATCACAAGATGTTGAGCTCCAATTCAACTTTCGTCACTTGTTTTTTTTAAAAATTATAACAAATAAAAGTAGGACAATAACTTTGAGATCAAAACCTCACATAGATGCAAGCAACCTATAAAGGAAAATAATTGACTAATCATTTCCTTTTTTTTTTTGGTAGTCTTATCGACTGAATTAATCCCCGAATATATGTTTTTGCAATCTATGTAGACATACTATCTCCAAAAAAAAAAGAAAACAAAGGAGTCAATTTGATATTTCAACCAAGAATTTTAATAGAAAATCCAAACAGCAATTTGCAAACATATAAAAATAAGAGAGAAAAGAAATAGGAATTATCAAGCCAATCATTTTTCCCAAGTGGATCAGCTCTTCCAGGCATACACCAACAGCGAGAACCCACGCGCCCGCTGCAGCTCCACCTCCTCCGGGCTCGCCCACTCCATTACCGTCGAATTGCTCACCGATGACGCTGATGAGGTCGACGAGGACGAAGAGCTCGTCTTCCTCAAGCTCTTCTTCCTCCCCATCCGCCTATCTCCCGCGCCGCCGCCACTACTGCTCTCGCTCCAATTACGGTTCATGTGCTTCCCATTATACCCCCGCGCCACCAGACTTTGGTACATCGCATTCCCGATATGCCCCTCCTGTTTCCCCTCTTCCTCTCCCTCGAATCGGAGGACGAACACGGCGTGCCCCGTCTCCGCCGCCCCGGCCGAGCCGACGCCGTGAGGAGCGGCCGTGTCGTCCTTGGAGTGGAAGAACCAGTTGTGGAGGTCCCACGAGACCTGGATCCGGCCGCAGCCGTCGACATCCGCCTTATCGCTCCCCCGGAACTTCCAACGTAGCCGACGGACCTGCAGGATCCGCTCGCCATCGACCCCTACCGACATCGCCACATCTCTCCCCTTATCCTTCGCCTCAAGCTCGATCGAGATCTCGCGGTCCCGGCCGCCGACCCGGGCCCGTGTCAAGTACGATCTCCGGCCGCCTTGGTCCACCAAAACAACGTGCTCCTGCCTCGAGACCAGCGCCGGGCGCGAGAGCAGGGGCGCCTGAGGCAGCCGGGCTTTCGACTTCTTAAAGGCCTCTTCGGCGAGATCCCCGGCAACAAGGAGCATCTCTCCATCCACGGAGACGGCGACGAAGAACCCGGCGGCCGGCTCTGGACCGCCCCCGGGAGGAAAGCTGGCGCGCGTCAGGTCCCACGCGAAGTCCACGCAGCGGTGGCCGCGGTCGTCCTTGAGGTGAAACCGCTTCGTCCCGCGCCGCTTCCAGAGCAGCCACGGCCGGATACGGAACCGGACGGGCTCTTCCTCATCCTCCTCGTCAGCGGACAGGCGGAGCTCTGTGCGGAGGGAGAGGCCTAGCACGGTGCGGGACCAGGTGAGGGCTGCGACGCCGAGGTGCGTCTCGTAGACCGAGGTCGTCAGGCTGGGCCCTGCCGCCTTCGATGGCGGCATCCCGGCGCCACCGCCACGGAAGCACGCCGGCATGGATTCTGGCATCCTCTCTCCAGCCCTCGTTGTCTATAATTTCCTCAGCAAACCGGAGAGTCTGGTCATCTAACAGGAGAGAGGGGCTGCAACATAAAACTCGAGAGCTGGGGCGTAACGTCACCGCGTCGGTGACCGCAACAACTCCATTGGATTCCCATGGCTTCTCGGATGTGGTGATTAATTACTTATTAGTACTAACACTGGTGATTAGTCTTAAGATCAGATGGAGAGCATTAAAGATTAGGAGGATCGATGAGATGCCGGCGACAGTTGCCGTCGTGCCCTCAGATTAGACTAATTGAAACACCAAATGTTCGAGCAACAAAATCTAACACAAGATTCTAAATAGGTGGAGGATATGATTCATCGTCCAAGTTGGTGTTGCATAGCCTTGACATTTGAATCGGAGACCAAGTCAAATGTCTGTAATTGCAGGGAAGGGTGTGGGTCAACAGGTCGAGTCAACGAAGGTGAATTCTCCAAATGAAAGATCTAAATGGACCGTGAGGTCAGGAGAACAACAGCTACTTCTTCTCTCCCCATCTGTTCCAACAAGCCATAGCGTTCTCATTCTGAGATCGACACGACAATTCCGCTGTCTTGTTGTTCGGTGACTGATGAGATTTAGGTTTGACTCTGGGCGCATCAAACTTCGCGCTGTGATCGAGCTGGCAGGCGATGAATCATCATGCAACTTTTCCTACCAACTCGAGAGGAGAGAGATTGCTTGCAAGTTAATTATGATGGCGTTCTCAATACTATTGTTGGCTGGTTGATCGTTCCTAACAGTCTCATCAACTTGATGCTCTCGAGAACACCGTTCTCTTACCTCTTTGAAGGGACTAAGTCTCCGGTGGAGAGCAGGAGACAAGTCCCATCTATGGTAGTGCTCCTACTGGCCGGCCGTGCGTATTGCAGACGGCCACAGTAGGATGCAACGTATACGTATTGAGACATTGTTCTTCTTCGTGTCCATGGAAGCAGGAAGCAGTCATATGGTTTCTGCTGTTGCTTTGCTCATAAGCGTCACTTCATCTCTTGGTAGGAGTGGTGGCACAGGAAGAGGGAGGCTCCAAAGTCCAAAGAAACCCCACCTAATCCATGTGCCGTCTGATCCTCGCATGGCCCCCCATCTCCTTCCCCCTTCCCACAACCTCGCTGCAGAATCCAACGCTGATGAAAGGTCGATGATCCTCACCGGTCTCCATGGAGGAGAAGAGAGGATTGCAACCCATAGTACCGTAAAAATGGTGCGATTGCTTTGCTGGTACACCTACTGATCATACCAACAAAAACTATGCTGCTCCACATATGTATTTTTATATAGAGGCACTCAACTGGTGTAACCACTCTCCATTCAGAAGTGAATCGGATCACTTACTTCTGTGTTTTTACTTCTCCACCATAATTGGATTGAGAGATCATTTCAGATTATTGTCCTCCACCGCAAATGCTGCTCTGCTGATCATTGTAGATCTATTTCTAGCTTTACGGGCTTTGATGAGGCAGCAATCTAAGCTTATTAAAACTGGGCCGAATTCGGCTTGTTTGGAGGCCCAAAATGAACATTGAGTAGCACGAAGCCTTGTGGGCCAAAATGGGCTTCATTAGGCCCATTTATATATGCTTATCCGCTTCGGCAGAGAACACGAGTTAGGACCGAGAGGGTTTTGGATTGGGGTTTCTGCAGTTGCTTGCGGAGGTCTCGGGAGCAGCGGAAATGGTAAGTCTTCCACCCTCTTCCTTTCTTCTGATTGTTAGGATTAGGGTTAGGGTTTCGATTTTGGGAGGTGACTTGAACTGATGCCTCGGCTTGGTTGTTTCTTCTGCTGCAGCCGTCGCACAAGACGTTCCGGATCAAGAAGAAGCTGGCGAAGAAGATGAGGCAGAACCGGCCGATCCCCCACTGGATCCGCATGCGCACCGACAACACCATCAGGTGCTCTCCCTTCGATCCAACTCGGGCGTTTTGATCGCTTCTTGTCCTTAAACTCTACCATCCCATCTCATCTCCTAAATGGCGGTGCTTTCGTGGCTTGTTAGGTACAACGCGAAGCGCAGGCATTGGCGCCGCACGAAGCTAGGGTTCTGAGGTCACCCTAGATGGGCTCTATTTTCCCCTGCTTATGCTACGACCGAATTGCCATCAATGGCGATCATTTTGGAATGTTAGATTGCTTTGCCTAGTTGCTACACTACTCATTACTCCAACTGTACTCGTTTTCCTTTGCAATTGGTGTTCTTATGAAGATTATATCTCTGCAATGATTTGTTTTGGGCTATTTTGATATGATGCAGTAGACTGCGAGCTGTGTGGTTTTACATACGGATTTTAAGCTCGGTGACATGGATTTTATCTAAAACCATCGTTAAAGCCAACTCAACCCTCCAAATTTTTAGGTTGTAGTAATTACTAATTCTTTAACATGCTTTGTAGTGTTTCCAATTGTTCTCGTTTTCCTTTGCAATTGGTGTTCTTATGAAGATTATATACATGCAGTGATTTGTTTTGGACTATTTTGATATGATGCAGTAGACTGCGAGCCAACTCAACCCTCGTAAAGCCAACTCAACCCTGCAACATGGATTTTATCGAAAACCATCGTTAAAGCCAACTCAACCCTCTAAATTTTTAGGTTGTAGTAATTACTAATTCTTTAACATGCTTTGTAGTGTTTTTATCTACTTGCATCCTCATTTGAGTTGATACTTCATTTCAGTGAAGAATGAGTAGAGAGCTATGCTCATGTATGATAATGAAATATTAGTTGTCAGCAAAACTGTTATGCAGTGTTTCTGGTTGAGGATAAGATTAATTAATGAATATGACTTGGAAATATGTTCATTGTGAATGGTCATCAGCAGTACATGTTCAACATGGGATCTTTTTGGGGTAGATTGTTTTTCATGTAATACTGATCTTATTAGAAAAATACAAAAAAAACATTGGATCACACTAAGAGTTGACCTGGACAGGTTTGAACATGAGATCTTTCCGAGGCAGATTGTTTTACACGTAATATTGTTATTATCAGAAAATCGCATACATGAATCACATAAAGAGTTGATGATTCCATTAGGGCACATGCTTACAGAAACTTGTTATATGGTAAGAAAAGTGGTGCAATGTCTTGAAAGTACAAAGTAGTTATCGCATCATGTTTTGTGGAGATGGATTTTGGAATTGGGTCCTACCTTTCTAGCATATTGAAGCATTTGACTGAAATGATGCTTCACTAAGGTAAAAAAACTGGCAGAGATGACTGAAATATAACAGTAGAAATGACTCTCGCCTTTGGCGCTGTGTGTGGTAATACTGAGCTACCTTGGTCATGTCCTTTTAATCATCTGATCGATCAATATGGTATCATTTTCCACGATTATCCCCCTTGATAGTGATGATGAAATCAAAAGGACAGCTCTAATAAGGACCCACCGAATCCTAATAATTTCTATTCGGTTTTTTAGTTTTCCATGCAGTGCTCAAAACGTCTCTTCTTCTAGTTTCCTAGTTCTGAAAGTTTTGTCCATCCTTACCATAACATATTCTATAAAACTTCAAGATTGGTCTACCATGATTTCTTGTAATAGGGTCTAGTGTTGTCTATCATGTCTACTGAATGGTGCTATGTCAAGGTAAAAGTACTGGAGAAAATTGTTTTCCGCACCTTCTGAGAGCTTCTAAGTATATATGTTCTATCAAACATTTGTTCTAGAAATTGTGTTTATTCTTTGAACTGTATGGGAGTAAATCATCATATACTATCCTATCAAACAGAGTTGATAGTTTTTCATGTAATATTGACTATGCATCAAAAGAAGAGTTGATCATTCATGTTATAGAATCTGGTTATATGGGTAAATGGTGCAATGTCTTGAATGTTGAAAGGAGTTATTGGACAATGTTTTTGGAAGAGCTTTATAATAGGATCCAATTGACTAGCATATCAAAGCACTTGAAAGAATGATGTTTTGCGAAGGTGAAAGAACCATAGGGATGAATTTGATAATAGAGTCGAAGCTTGTCTAGCATTTCGAAGCACTAGATTGGATGATGCTATGCTAAGGAACCGGTTAAAATTGTTCCCCACACCTTTTGAGATCTTCCTACGTATATCTATATTGTCAAATCATTTCTTCTACTGATTGTGCGTATTCTTTGAATTGTTTGAGAGTGAATCATCTCATGGAGTAGGATAGCTGCTTGCTGCTTGATATCTCACCCCATAGAAATGAGAACCGAGAAGGGATATGTTGAAAATTGTTTATATCTTTGTCAATAATTATGTACATTCAGAATCGATATCGAACTTTCTAATAGTGGTTCAGACAGAACTTGGTAGGGTGACCATCAGAACTTGGTCGGAGAATGAAACCAAGAGTTGATACTTGTTGCGTAACATCTCTTATGATTATTTTGAGAACTACTATTTGAGAATGGATTTCATCATTTTATTGACAAAAAAAAATAAAGCTAGGTGATGTATTTATGATCGATGAATGGACTTGTCATTTAGCTCCTCAATTCTGAGATGTTGACAGAGGATCGAGTACTTGATCATAAATTGTTATTGTGGATGCGTTGAGCCACTTCATGCTTCTTCTATGTTTGAGCAAGTAATCTATGAAAGGTTGATATCATCATATCATGAGGATAGGAAGATGTAGTCTGATTCATTTGTTGATTCCATTGAGAAGTATTTTTTTTACCATCATCGTTATTGGGGAGACGTTTTGGTTGGCCTATCAGCCATAACAACTTAGGAAGAAAGCAAGAAGTGGCTCATTGTATGGTGACCCATTTGTCATCGATGGGTTTCAATTTACCTTCTTCGAGATGGATTATGTAATCCATGAGCTTAGATCTTCTTTCAATGAACCCAAAACCAAGTGGATTTACAAAAATTTCTGATCGACTGAGCCAACACCTGCAGGTCCAGAAGAGTGATGGGAAAAACCATCACAATCTAAGATCATATCACTGGCATACCTGTCATTTGATTCAGATTGTATCAGATCAAGTGACCGCCCTCTCGGCCTTCCAAAGCATAAGCAATAAACTCGAGGTTTGGTTTGATCGTTGCGGACACCAAAGTAAATTAACAGTAATTCGTTCTGGAAAATGCATTTTAGGTGGATGGAAGTTACCCCTACAAAATTTCAGGGGTGATGTGGTTGGTCGCATGGGCTCCACTCACTGCTACGAGTGACATCAACCCTGAAGGAATGATGCAGCCGCCACCACGTGTTTGCATGGCTTGGCGAGGAACCCGTCGTAGGGCGATCCGTGGAGCCGAAACAACGCGAGGGTGGTTCCGGTCGCCCGTCTCTCCCTCTTCTTGCTCCTCGTCCTCCAGGTATCAATGAATGAACGAATGGCGCTGCCCCCACTTCGCTCCGCTCCCCGCAACGCGCCCGACACGTATCAGTTGGAGCCTCGAGCGACAGATGGCGAAGGGAGTCACCGGGTTCAGCGGCGGGCCACAGGACTCCGCCCCACCCCCTCCCCCTCCGCCTCCTATAAGTGAACGCATCCCCTCCCTCGCTTTCCTCACCGCCTATGAAGCAGTAGTGAGAGCGCAGAGAATAAGAGCAAGGAGAGAGGACGAACAAAGTAGTAGCCCATGCCTCTCCTGCTCTCCCCGTACCTCTTCCAGTAGCTCTCGGCCTCCAACAACCAGCACAACTTTGCACAGAAACCTAAAAAAACAAATAGCACAAGATGGCGACCGCCGGCGGTGATGGCTCCATCTCCCTGGAGCAGATCAAGAACGAGTCGGTCGACCTGGTAAGATCCTTTCCTCATTGCTGTACTGATTCCTTGTGCTTTCCATCGCTCATTATTCTTTTTGCCTTGGGTCGTGCAGGAAAGAATCCCGGTGGAGGAGGTGTTTGCGCAGCTGAAATGTAGCCGCGAGGGGCTCTCCTCTCCCGAAGGGGAGCAGCGGCTCCAAATCTTTGGCCCTAACAAGCTCGAGGAGAAAACGGTGCAGTCTCTGTTTGCCCTTCTTCTTCTTCTTCTTCTTCTTCACCATGTAATCAGTGCTCGTCCTTCATTAGCTCGATTTCTCAGTTTCTTGTGTGTGTGTGTGTAACAGGAGAGCAAGTTCCTCAAGTTCTTGGGCTTCATGTGGAACCCGCTCTCTTGGGTCATGGAGATCGCCGCCATCATGGCCATCGCGTTGGATAACGGAGGGGTAAATTCCATTCTGCTATCTCCTCTTCCGTCGGAGCATCTGACGATGTATAGCTGCAATTTCGCAGGGTGAGCCACCAGATTGGCAGGACTTCATTGGAATCGTTGTCCTCCTCCTCATCAACTCCACCATCAGCTTCATCGAGGAGAACAACGCTGGAAACGCCGCCGCAGCCCTCATGGCTGGCCTCGCTCCCAAGACTAAGGTCTCTTCCTAACATCCATGGATAGCTTGCTTGCACACCATGCCCTTCCTCGCTGATGTAAATGGGTGGTCTGGCACAGGTGTTGAGGGACGACAAGTGGTCCGAGCAGGAGGCGGCTATCCTCGTCCCCGGCGATATCATCAGCATCAAGCTCGGTGACATCATCCCGGCCGATGCCCGCCTCTTGGAGGGCGATCCTCTCAAAATCGACCAGTCTGCTCTCACCGGCGAGTCCCTCCCCGTGACGAAGCACCCCGGCGACGAGGTCTTCTCGGGTTCCACCTGCAAGCAAGGCGAGATCGAGGCCATCGTCATCGCCACCGGCGTCCACACCTTCTTCGGCAAGGCCGCGCACCTCGTCGACAGCACCAACAACGTGGGTCACTTCCAGAAGGTGCTGACGGCCATCGGAAACTTCTGCATCTGTTCCATCGCCATCGGTATGATCATCGAGATCATCGTCATGTACCCCATCCAGCACCGGAGGTATCGCGACGGCATCGACAACCTCCTGGTCCTGCTCATCGGTGGCATTCCGATCGCCATGCCCACCGTGCTGTCGGTCACCATGGCCATCGGATCCCACCGGTTATCAGAGCAGGGAGCCATCACCAAGAGGATGACCGCCATCGAGGAGATGGCTGGCATGGACGTGCTCTGCAGCGACAAGACCGGCACGCTCACCCTCAACAAGCTCACCGTCGACAAGAGCTTGATCGAGGTGATGCTCAAGTGCCAGCTTCTTGACTCATGGCGATTGGTCTCATATGCATCGGTTCTTGCAGGTGTTTGTGAGTGGCCTGGATAAGGATTCGGTGGTGCTGTATGCTGCAAGGGCGTCTAGGGTTGAGAACCAGGACGCCATCGATGCTTCCATTGTTAACATGCTGGCTGACCCTAAGGAGGTACTGAGCTGTTGCTACCTCTTCTGCCTTCTTCGTTGCATTGATCCATGCTCATGTTCATGAGCTCTGTGTTTGCAGGCACGTGCAGGGATCCAGGAAGTCCATTTTCTGCCATTTAATCCAGTCGACAAGCGCACTGCCATCACCTACATCGACTCCAATGGCAAGTGGCACCGATCAAGCAAGGGCGCACCTGAGCAGGTATCAGTGCGTGCAAACGCTTCTGTGTGTTCCCCTTGATGCTGAGATTTCATCCTCTCTCTGTATCCTTCAGATCATCGACCTCTGCAACCTGAGAGATGATGCGAAGAAGAAGGTCCACAGCATGATCGACAAGTTCGCCGAGCGCGGTCTTCGCGCTCTCGGTGTGGCGAGGCAGGAGGTTCCCGAGGCCAACAAGGAAAGCGCCGGCGGTCCGTGGCAATTCATGGGCCTGTTGCCCCTCTTCGACCCTCCAAGGCACGACAGTGCCGAGACCATCCGCCGTGCCCTCGACCTCGGCGTCAACGTCAAGATGATCACCGGCGACCAGCTTGCCATCGGCAAGGAGACTGGGCGCAGGCTTGGCATGGGAACCAACATGTATCCTTCCTCGACCCTTCTTGGCGAGAAGAACGACGACGTCAGTGGCCTCCCCATCGACGAGCTCATCGAGAAGGCCGATGGGTTTGCCGGAGTCTTCCCTGGTAAGGATGAGTTCCATGATCTCTGTGCTGGAGAACTGATGCTGCGTTGATGGGCCTACTCACGGGTGGCGGATTGATGTGGTGGTTCAGAGCACAAGTATGAGATCGTGAAGAGGCTGCAGGACAGGAAGCACATCTGCGGCATGACAGGGGACGGCGTCAACGACGCACCGGCGCTGAAGAAGGCGGACATCGGCATCGCGGTGGCGGACGCGACGGACGCGGCGCGCAGCGCGTCGGACATCGTGCTGACGGAGCCCGGGCTCAGCGTCATCGTCAGCGCGGTGCTGACAAGCCGCGCCATCTTCCAGCGCATGAAGAACTACACCATCTACGCCGTCTCCATCACCATCCGTATCGTGCTCGGCTTCATGCTCATCGCCCTCATCTGGCGCTTCGACTTCTCCCCCTTCATGGTTCTTATCATCGCCATCCTCAACGACGGCACCATCATGACCATCTCCAAGGACAGGGTGAAGCCTTCCCCCCTGCCCGACTCATGGAAGCTCCGGGAGATCTTCGCCACCGGAATCGTCCTCGGCACCTACCTCGCCCTGATGACCGTCGTCTTCTTCTGGCTAGCTCACGACACCGACTTCTTCCCCGTGAGTAGCAGCAGCTCCTGCTCTTTGCAGCGGCAACGAAGTGACCGCTAACGCATCGCAATTCCCCTCTGCAAACAGGAAAAGTTCGGCGTTAAGCCGATCAGAGACAACCTCAATGAGTTGACGGCAGCACTCTACCTGCAAGTGAGCATCATCAGCCAGGCGCTCATCTTCGTCACCAGGTCGCGGAGCTGGTCCTTCGTCGAGCGGCCCGGCCTGCTGCTGGTCACCGCATTTATCGCCGCCCAGCTGGTAATCCCGTCGTCTTCATCCTTTGCGCGGTTGTTCGTTCTTCATCAGATCCGCTGAAACACTCCCTCCCTTGGATGATAGGTGGCGACGGTGATCGCGGCGTACGCATCATGGGGGTTTGCCAGGATTCAGGGCATCGGGTGGGGATGGGCAGGGATCATCTGGCTCTTCAGCTTGGTCACCTACTTCCCTCTCGACGTCCTCAAGTTCATCATCCGCTACACGCTCAGCGGCAAGGCCTGGGACAACCTTCTCGAGAACAAGGTCTTCCTTCTTCCCGGGATCTGATGAAGGCCATTGCGGCACATGCATCTCACCCCATACTCCACCATATGATTGCAGACGGCATTCACCACGAAGAAGGATTACGGGCGGGGCGAGAGGGAGGCGCAGTGGGCTCTGGCGCAGCGCACCCTGCACGGCCTGCAGCCGGCGGACACCCCCGGACTCTTCAATGACAAGAGCAGCTACAGGGAGCTGTCGGAGATCGCGGAGCAGGCAAAGAAGCGCGCCGAGGTTGCCCGGTAATCCACCAATCTGACCTGCGTTAAACTTTTAGTAAGATGGATATCATGCCATTAGCAATTACATGAGGGTTGATGAATGCAATCAAACGTATATGATGCAGGCTAAGGGAACTGCACACGCTTAAAGGCCACGTCGAGTCGGTCGTGAAGCTCAAGGGATTGGACATTGAGACGATACAGCAGCACTACACCGTATAAAGCAAAGCATATATATAAATATATATATGCATAAAGAGACATGAAAGTGCTGTTTTTTCTATTTGTATGCGTGGAGATTATGTGACGTCTTATGATATGCCAGACTAAATTGATCGATCTTACTAGGAAACATTTATTTACTTGCCTGATGTTGGCGTGTGTTAATGGGCTCCTCGTCTATGCTCCAATTCCTGTGGGGTTGGGACTGGGCGTTCCGTTTCTGCAGCTTAAATATGAAGCATAAGATCAACCAAAATCCTCCGAGAAATGAGAGAAAAAAAATCCAAAAGAAATGGCCAGCAGGACTATCAATCTACACAGCATGCTTAAAAGAACCACAAAGCCAGCAAATATGCATATCTTTACTTCCTACCAGCACATGATGAGCATCTTTTACCAGCAGATCCTGTCACCAGTACAATCAATTGATATTTAGAGAAACCTTAATAAATTAGGAGATAAAAATTCTAAACAGAATTTGAATGAAGTAAATATAACCCTAGAAAAGTCTGCTAATTCTCAATAAAGTAAATATCAGGATACTAACAAGGCTTTGAGCAGCTGACAATAAAATAATTTCATTGAATTAATCAAATTTCACAAAACAACATACCAGTTATTTTTAACTTGAATGAAACGAAATGAACTCGACAAAATGACATATGCCAACTTTGTGAATGGATTACCTTTGCTTTTTTATCTCCATGTAAGCAAATTAAAGTTGAAAACCAAACAAGACAACCATATCTCATCACCGTTGCTCAGCTTATATAACGGAAACACAATTTTTTTAACGAGAAGAAACTGATCCAAGAACTACAGTCTCACATTATGGCCTTAAAGACAAAATTACAGTCTGCTGGCTTCCACCAAGGAAAGCAGAATTCAAGGAAAATATGAACTTATGTTCAATTTAAATCAGACTTAATCCATCCTTCCCTTTAAGGTTCTTTCCTGCACTTCGGTTGGTGTCCTGCAAAGAATGAAAAAAGAATTTGGTTAATGGATATGATGATTTTAGATTGATGGGATGTCGGAAGCTCTATGATGCACATGCTTGATGCCATCTATAAGAAAAGAAAAGAAAAGAAAAGAAAAAAAAACGGAAGGGAACAGATTTTCTAGTGCATTTAGTCTTATTTCTTTTGGTTGCCACGTGCATACATGCCTTCAGAATTCATAGATAAAGCTTGCAGCATAGAGACAATGGACAAATCTGTTTTTACATATTTACTAGAATCCTACAAGAAACAAAAACATAAATGATCTAAAGAGTAACCAAATAGAGTATCATCAGACTTACACAAGAAGGACATGCCCTCCCCAACCACTCAAACAATCACGATCCACAGACGATAATAAAGCTTGTGAGATTGTCTCAAACAATTCTTCAGGTTCCTAGTAAGAAGAAAGAACAATGTTTAGACATGCCGCTGGCTTCAAGAAAGAAGTCACCAACAAGTGCAGATAAGAACATGAACAAACAAAAAGCATGCAAACTGTACTGGTTTCTTCTTCCATGTGTTATTTAAATGTCCCCAAATTTAATCTGAATTCCTTTTAGTACATAAAGGAATTGTCTTATTTCATTGTTTTACCATGTTGTGACATGCATTTAAGAAATAAAGAAACTAAATCAATAATGCTTTTACATACTTCTAGCAAGACAAACTCTCATATGCATGCAACCACACCTTTGGAGTACCCTAGTATCGAACCTAATTGATCATTACGGAGCGATCTGCGCTCCTCTGTTGCCCCCAATCACCCATGTTATTCCCTCATTCAATGTGTCAGTAGAGAAACCTTTAATGTCATGCTTGCTCCTGTAGATCGGTATTACTCTAATACCAAATTGTTAGGAGTAGCCCCTGCTAAACAGGGTGTCCTATTTTGACTAAAAAGAACATCCAAGGAATTAATCTAACTAAAAACTAAGAATTTCATTACTAAAAAAATTCTACGAAAAAAAAAGGTAAAGCAGTCAACAAAAACAACCAGGAAAAGTGTATAGTTTAACTATTTACAGTCTATCCATTCTCCCATCTAATCATATTGCAGACACAATTAAAAAGTTAATTACCTAATTATTCATTTAATGTCAACATTCACTGCATCAATGCTTCTGTGCAGATTTCCTTTTGGGGTCCCGGCTCCTGTTTGGGCCAGAACACAAGTTGCCGACTATGTTGCCATAAGGAACAGAATTCCCAAACCACGTGCTGTTCTAATTTTGTCAATGGAGTATATGAGGGAAGATCATGGATAGCTCGATTTTATGTGGCAGACAACTCTGCTTCGGCACATATAAACTAGTGGGTGACGTGGTGGGTTGGCTGTGGTGGTCAACATTGGTTGATGTGCACAGCACCATAATTAGTGTGACACAAGAGAGTGGGTAAAAGTGTTGAGAATGCAACCCTTTTTTTGTTTAAAAGGTGAATCACTTGTTCTGGATGGAGGACTACATAGAAAGAAAAGAGGTAATGCTTGTTTATCTGAACCCCAGAGTTTCATCTGAAGAAGTGATTTCTCAGGAACAACAACCTCAAAAATTAAAATATAAGGCCTAAAAAAACATGCTTTCAACTCCCATCTCTTGCAACTTCCTGGATGCATGGAAGATGTAAACAGATAAGATGGTTCACCATCAAAAGAGACATCTAGCTTTTTAAGTTCTGGATACTGCAAGGAAAACCAGAAAAAAAAAAGTCCAAATAAAGCTTCTCTATAAGCTCACTTACACCTATCAATACTATAAGAATTAGCATTGACGTAATAATTCCTAGAGTTTTGCATGTTTCAGAAAAGAGCAATTGGCTAAATGAATCCAAGTTAAGGTGGGGAACATACATACTGTCACAGATCAAGTACTCCAAGATAGTAAGTTACCATGTTAGGCTTGTACATGGATTCACAAGCACCATAAAGAGACTCTGAGGCTGTACCAGAGACAACAAAATCTTTGGCAAGTTCCCTGCATGCAAGTAAACATCCAATAAACAGCATGAATATTTATAGAGTGTGTTTCATTGTGTTTTATAATATACGTACATACATACATATATATATATATATATATATATATATATAGCTTTTTTAATATGATTTATAGAATGTACTAGGATCTCTTCAATAGTCATGGTTATTGAGTAAGGCATCAGAGTCATTTTTTATTGTTGTCTATAATATTTGGCTTGCTAACTGCAAAAAGAATCTTTTTCTACAAGTGCAGAGATAGACAGAGTATCAATGAGATGTAGCAACAACACAAACAAGTAATATGAGTTCAATGAAAAGTTGTAAACATGGTAGAAGAAAACAGAGCAAAAAAGATAAGTGTGATTGAACTATCAGTTACCACGTTCTCCTCAATACACCAATATGCCTAATTCGAAATTCCCTATGTTGATTGCACCAATTTCACTTGGGTATCTTTCCATTTACCAACTCAACAAGACATTGTAATCTCTCATTTTCCAAATAAAGTATTACTCAGTGACTATCAAGGCATTATGTGCGACAGAACACCTATGAGCGCACATGTAGGACAAAATATAGTTATTTGTTCTAACTTGTTCTATGAACATTTTTTCAAGGTCCACCAGTGTTGTATTTTGTATTCTAAGAAGCTAAGAGCAAAGCATGCACCAAGCACAGCTATGAATACTTGTGCCTCCATCTTGTTTGAGAGTTTCTCATGAACGCAATAAAGCTAGAACTATGCAAAAAAGTGGTGTACTTATCATGAGGTATATTCATAAATCTGCATGACGCAATGTATTTAGGACCATTGCAAGAATACATATGAGATTTATTATGAAAACAAGGAACCAGAGAAGCACCTATATGCCAATATACATGACAAACATAGAAAATTGTTGATATGAAGAAATTTCAAGAGATATCTGTGATATATTAAATAATAGATAGACACTAAAAGATCCATGGGGCCAGCCCAAATAGTTTGGACATTATGGCTTGTTTTTTGTTTTGTTTTGTAACAATCTAGAAAGACCATATACAACAGATGAAAATAGAAGCCAACAAAATAGATGACAATCTATTTCAGTTCTAGGGATTCACCTGAAAATCATTCTGTACCAAGATCTATTTGAAATTATTAAGTATGTTACATGAAAAGTACTTCAGAGAAACTTTCTGATTGATTCAACAACGTACACACTACCTCAACTCCTACAAAATCCTGTACCTTAAAACATGCAGGAAGCATCACTTATCTTTTCTATGAAATGATATTACAGTACATCTTGCAGTAGATACATTTAAATTTCTTCTGGGAGTAACTTATAATTACAAATGTTTAGGATGATTTCCTACAGAGATGCAATCATGTAAAATGTCAGTACAATCTTAAACTTTCAACGTGAAGCACAAACAAAAAAGAGAGAATTAAAATGCCCAAGAGTATAGGAATATTTTAGTTGATATACATATATACACACACTCTACTGACAACTTTATTTAGTTATATACTTTATATATACACACACATTAGTTGGTAAATATACATAGGCAATAATAGGGTTAACAAAAAAGCTGTCAATTACAATAAAAATAGCTGTATGTGTTGTAAGTTGAAATTGTTTAAAGCAATATTTAAGAATGATCCATGGGTAAGGCAAGAGAAAAAGATGCATACTTGGCACCAAGGCAATCCATGGTACAAATGAATGGAACATCATCATCACCTAGTCCAGCAATTACAGGCTGACAGAAGTATGGACCAAATCTACAACCAGAGCCAAAGTAACAAGACAATTCTTCTGTGAGAACATCAATATGGAATTGAAAAGAAGATAACGAAAATTAAAAGCAGATCAAAAAACAAAAAATACAACAGGAAAAAAATGGTCAAGTAGCAGATATGATTCTTCAGTTCTAGAGTGCATGCATATCTTTCATATGGTTAAAGCATTTTAAAGATGTTCACAATCAATTAATGTTTATTATCATAAACTATCCAAAGAAACTCTGATACCTTAATATTTCAACTAAACATTTAACAAATGAATATAACCAAATTATATATGTTATTTCCTACTTAAGTCATTTCTTCTTTCATCCAAATAACTAAGTTGCATATGTTAATAAATTGGTTTTGTTTGCATACTTTTATCACTTATCAAAGCAACACTGAAGCTTAAGGAGCACCATGGTAGCAAATAATAGTTAACTATTCATTTTATAGGCCTTGTCACTGGTTAATGTTCATCAAAAGTTTCAGAGGTGATTACCGCCTTAGCTGAAAATATCCATATCTCACTAGTAAAAATAACCAAAACCCAACATTTCTTTTCTGTAACTTTCTGCAGACGTTAATAACTTTTTTTTGTCTCTTTTAACACCTGTTAGCATTATGTACTCCATTTGGTGGGTTTATAAATTCCATATGAAATCATACATGCAAAGAGGAAGCAGCGCACTGCAATAGAAAATTCAACGCCAGTGGCAATAAATTAGGAGGAGGCCTCAAATAGCAGTGCACTGCGGCAAAATTACAACTTATAATTGCAGAGCAGACCTTTTCTCATACAGCAGAGCCGAAACGAGGCTGGCAAAAGTCTGGGGCTTCATATCCCTTTCCTCCCTCAGCTGATAAAGCTTGTGGCGAAAGACCAGCCGCTGGTACCTTATGTCCCCAACAACAACAGGCAGCAAGAGATCAAATTCGCACATCAAAACCTAGTCCGGCAAACGAAATAGTCCAGGATAGAGGTCAGCTCACATGGTTTGGGCGTCGGTGGCGAGGCCAGAGAGGCCGATGTAGAGCTTGTCGTGGATCTTGAAGATCCTCTGGAAATCAGTAGCGACGGTCTGGAGGTTAACCCCAAGGCGGCGGTCGCTGGCGATCGCAAAGCAATTCTTCCCGACCATCGCCACCAGGGCGCTCCCATTGTACTCAAAGATCTGAAGGGAAAACACACATTAGATTCCTTTCAGAAGACGAGAAGAACGAGGGGTCTAGTTTTTCGATCAAATGCGTACCGACATCAGTCAGCGAGGAGAGAGAAGAGACGAAGACGAGCGCGAAGGAAGAGAAAGGGAAGTGGCTTGGTGAACACTCCTTGGAATTACTAGGGATTTAAAGTGTCGTCCAAAGCAGGCTTTCTTGGGCTTTAAATGGGGTCCCATGACCTTCGGGCTAAGTTGGAACCTTTGTCGGTTAGCTTACCGCACCCTAGACCGGATGTAGAGTGGCCCAAAAAAATTGTAAATGGCCGAAACATGACAAAATTTCGTATTCTTATTCTCACGTCGGCGATTAGAATGCGGCGTTAGAGAACTGATCGGTTAAGTTACCGCACGCCAAAGCAACGGTAAGCTGGCACCCAGAACTCCTAATTGTCGTTTTCTTAACGTCACAGCGGTCGTTAGACCCAGAGTTACAAATCTATCGGTGAACTTACCGCACAAAAGGAGGATTGTTAAGTGGTCTAAAAAATTGTAAACTTTATCAAAATTGTGCAAATTCCGTCTTCTTACTCTCACATGCGGTGATCAGAATCCAAATATGTGGCGCACCCCTCGACGCGCTCGAGCGCCCTCATGCCACCACGAAGGTCGAAGACGATGAAAGAGGTAGGTCTCTCTCTCTCTCTCTCTCTCTCTCGAGCTTCCTCATTCCACCTGTGGAGGCGGCCGCCCATCACTAACTCCACAAAACCCCGTCCTCAAAATCCAATTTTTCACCCAAATGCAAGAGGACAACTATGCTGCTGAAAAATAGTCTGTAAATTAGCAATGTGTACAACTTAAACATCCAACAGATTGAACTTGAATGGCTCACTTTGATATGCTTTTCCATTGGGTGAACTCAGATGGAAGAACACTTTCATTGGAGGAAAGCACAGCTTGGGCCGTCAACTTCCCTACAAATCCATGGTACAGAAGTCCCCTCGAACCCAGACCTCCAACCAACCAATACCTGCATTTGACGCTCTCACCAATAATGTCATCAACACAACCCAATAGTGGGAGAGAGCCATAAGGAGTCAGCGGTGGCATCGCCCTCAGGCCGGCTTGTGCTTCGACAAAAGTCCAGTTTCGTATGGGTGGATACACGGCAGAGGCTTTCGGCATCAGTTCTTCCATCGCCCTCGAAGCTTCTTCTTCCGACACACTCGATGCATAATCTTTGGAATTCCAATCCCAAGTTGATCCCACCAACACGCTCCGTGGTTCTCGGAACGCAAGCCATGCGTCCGACAAGATCGAGGGTCTTTGGTGATCATATTCACCTCTGCAGGATGATTCTCTCAAAAGACATTGCATTAGAAGATTTGAGTGAGAAGATAAATTTGACTGTCAGTACAAGAAACGCTGAGGGAAGCAATGATTCATACGGGAGATCAGATGGCAATTGGAGCTTAGCAATAACGCCTCTGCATGTCCTCAGGGGAAGCTTTCCCGAGAGTTGTGGAAGCTTGTCCACTTTAGCACCAAGGCAAATAACCACTGCGTCGTATTCCTCTGCACATTCTCACTGGAAGTTAGAACAACGGTGGTATGCTAGCATTTCAATGCATAGGATAGATATATAGGATTGCATTGCATGCAGATAACAATTAGAATAACTTCAGGTGAAAATAACTAGAGAGGATGCATATTTAGAATTAGATAAAGTATATGCAATGATCTGCTAATATTCAGGAAGAAAATGATTCGAGCAGAAAACATTGGAACATTTTCCCTGAAAGCCCAAAGTTTGGCACGTATGTATCTGATGCTTAGATTTTCTGCAATCCAATCTTCAAGAAAAAACAAGTACTAATTTACTAGATTCCCACAATCACATAGAATTTAGGTGGAATTGCTTTAACTTCAGGGTCAAATTCAGAATTGAACTTGAACGCATAAGTTGAAGAGTTAATGTGCTGATAGTCAATATAAATATCTGTGAATTGCATTTTTCATGGTGGTTAATATTCTAGAGAAAAATAAGCAACAGTTAAGTAACTTAACAAGACTTTTTCATGATAACATGTTATCAAAGTTGCTCGCAAATCGAAACTTCTAGAAGAAAGCATGTTTTGCCAAGAATCAATCTTCATGAGAGTTTGACCAACATACGAATTAATTTTCCATTATATTTTTTATGTTCGACAGAGGTCGAAGGGAAAGGAGGGCATGATTGGCAGAATAAATTGTTTACCTGATAGTTGGTGGAGACTGTTGATCGATTCTTTGAATAGGTAAATCTCTCTTTCTTCGCATTCTGCCAGATCATTGCATGCTAAAAACAGTGCCTGCATAAAGAATATTTAATCGCCAAGTGAGTATCTAAAGAAACTTTGTCCAAGATTAAGGCAACCATAAGAGAAACACATTTGCACCTGAAGATATCGTTTTGGATGGATGTTCATAGCCAGGGGCATATAAACAGCTAAGTCAAGTGGCACACACAAATCAGGCACCAGATATTGAGCAGCACTCCTATCTAGGAGTTCCAGATAGCAACTCTCAGAGAAACTCTGAGCATTCTAATCACTTGAAGAAGAAATAAAGGTCAATAAGCAAGTAATACAAAACAACAATCAATCTGCAATGCTAAATGGTTTTACCTCCCTCAAAACGTCAACATTCTTCTGAGATGCAGGTCTTATTATTCCCCTATAATATGGAACAAAACATGCATCAGCCTCAAAGACTGAAGCATCTGAGAAATTTGCTGCTGTTACTTACTGTAAGTCAGAATCGAGGAGATGCGATTGACATACATTCTGACACTGTCCACATGTAACTAATTTGTGGTCTAAAATTTACATGTTTTGTATGAACAGAAATGCAGCATATTTACATGAACTCTAAGGTGGTCTATTGGAAATGAAGTATGAATGTGTTGTGGAAATGATTACCTTTTCCAGACAATTCTTTCTTTGAAGCTACAAAATGAGTCTTGAGGAGCATTACTCGAAGCTCTGGCTTCCACCGCTCTGTTTGCAATAATTAACAAATCTAAGCACTCTCTCCAGCACTCCGAACCTCTCCAAAGAAGCTTAGCTGCAATTAGAAACAAGATGGATTGTTTCAAGAGGTTGGTCAGAAACTGAAGCTTGCATAAATTTCAAAAGAATACGACTTTATGTTTTCGACATATTCAACATAAATCCGAGAGAACTATGGGCACCTTTAGGAGAGTAAGGATGAAGGAGCCCTCCAGATGCACCAGATGCACCACCACCTATCCCAGCATCATCATAAATATCTATACAAATCCGTGAATCGTCAGAGCTTTGCTGCATGACATAGGACGATAGCGTGTCGCGCAAATGTATCAGTAAAATGCCCTTTCTTGCATGTAGGTGACATTTCGCCCTAACCAATAAGACGACGGCAACTAAATCTAGAGGAAATTTCACTCCACTCGTTCAGGCAATTCATCATACACCTCGCTTGCGAGGCTAAATTCTTCACTGACAAAAAGAAAAATAACGGAATCACACGCGAGGAAGGAAAAAGAGAAAATTATGACCTTGAGAAGATGCCAGGCCACCGACAGTCCTGCGAATCCAGCTCCGAGGATCGCATATCTCAAACTTGGCTTGTACAGAGCGGATAATGCGGTGGGAGGGGGAAGGCAATTGGAGGAGCAGAGAGGAGGAAAGGCCTTGGAGTAGTTCCTTCTACCGGTGGGAGAAGCACACCGAGCCTTGTCCATTCGCCACCAATGCTTAGGGTCTTTAGGGTCTGCGACGAAGCCATCTGGGACCGGCGGATGGACGCGGAGGGGAAGGCGGACGCCCGACGGCATGAGAGAGATAAAAAGAGCGTGACTAACGTGTATGGCATCATATATATCGTTGTATGCGTGTCGACGTTTCAAAGATCCGTTATAAACAAAGAACGAAATATAACGGTCGTTATTGAACTCAGATAAATACAAGAAGTTCTAAAAAATGTTTTTTACTACATATTACATAATATATTTATGTAGGATGACATGTATGCGATTTTTGGACTCAGTCCCACATTCATTAAAGAATAAGAGAATCAAAAACTCATTTGTACGTTGTGTTATCGTTATGTTCAAAGCTCCGAAAGAATAAAACTGTACGGGTACACTCATTACCCAAAGCGATGCTAACATCATCCGCATCAATGACGAACCAATCAAATATTGACTTATCAATACTATTTTTGGAGTAAGATGCTAACATCAACCATGCAATGCTGTATAGGAGAAACCATTGCAAAGAGAAGACCATTATTATATGTTTGTAAAACATGCTATAGATATATTATATGACGAGAGAAGAATCAACATTGTGGTAATTATGTGCCATTACAATGGAGAATACATAAATAGCAGTTCTGACTATATACATATTTGAACATGAAACAAGTACAGAAAAAGAATCTCCACTGCCGTCAGGCATTTCAATGAGAAAATACAAATGTTTAGGTAGGAAGAATTCATCACTCTTGATGCAGGCCGAAACGAACCAGAAGTTGCTCATCAGACACCAATGGATGATCCGATACAAAAGTTATGACTCATCCCAAAATGGTACTGCAGACTCCACCCTCACACGGTTCAATCGAACTGTCCCGAGAATGTATTCAGGGAGCTCTTCCTCCTCCTTTGCCTGCACAATAATGATAGCACATTTGTGAGAAACAGGAAGAAGACAATAGAGAGTATGTGTATGGTAGGGTCATCTAGCCAAGAAAATCAAATTTCATTCTTCAAAATGACCTCTAACTGTTATCCTCGACATCTATCCTCTTGATCATAACATAAGCACTGAATTCTCTCAAAACCAACAAAGACCTAAGAACAAAAGAGTAAAATCAGCTCCCTCACATAATTCTAATTGTAACTCTTGGTGCACAAAAATTTTGCAAAGCTTCACATAGTAATGTGTCCTCTCCTAGCCAGCCTGTTCTCTCCTAGCATTAATATTTTCAATACCTTCAATTGCTAAACTATATAAATAAAAAGATAGGACTAAAATTAATCTAATGTTAGACCCAAACACAAATTGTTTGGCACAAATAAAACCATGTAAAATATGTTCCAAGACATGCAGAAGAAATAAAACATTAACATGTCTTATTCCCATGATTGCCATAAATTTTAGGAAGTTTTGTAACAAGCTTCTGAAAAAAATTCAAAATAAACAAAGCCTCCAGTTTAATGTCATGAAGTCACACACTAGGTTCAGATCAACCTGCTTAATGTCATGAACCCAGTAGCACAAATAACCGAGAAAGAATACCAATACAGGAAAAGATATTGTGCCAGTTCATACCTCAATCAGGATTCCAAGGTCAACAACAATGCTCGTGATGTATCCAAGAACTAAACTGATTATACTCCTTGCAACTGATGAGGAGCCAATATCTACATCTATCTGCAGATTAGAGCTTTGTCAGCATTCTAGGGAAGTCTCAACTGCAAACCAGTTAGTGTGAATTGACAAACTGATCATTTTATTGTTAAGTAAAAACCAAAAGTCCTCAGGCACAACATAAAATTGCAAGCTAAAAATCCTTTGTTTATGTTCACTAGCAACATGGCCAACAAGAATAATTTAAATTTTTATCTAATTAACTATAAGTAAATAACCTTTGAATTAATGATTTTTCTAAAAGGTATGCATCCAAAGATTTTGCAGAAAGAAATGCACACAAGAAAATATTAATCATGACAAGCTAATTACATGAAATTCAATATGAAACTAGGTACACTGGTGTGCACATACATTCCATGATCTGGTTCAAAGTAATAGCATTTATTGAAGTTCATGATGTACCCAGCTCATGTTCAACCTAGGTCAAGATACATTCATGTTATTAGTGAGAAGGGCAACATCATATTCCTCAAACCATCTACCTTGTTATCTGTAAGTTTCTTGCCTGAATTGGCATGACATCCATGCTAGTTGTCACAGACATTGGAGCACACAATGGCTTGTCAAACCACAGTTCCAAATCTGAGACTGGTTTTACAATCTTCATGAAATCCTTCATTCAAGTCACATACATTCAGATATTTCTATGTGAAAGAATAGCCTAATTAGCTACTACTTCATCATGTCAATAAAGTCTGTAAGCAACAAACGTGGATCTTACATAGCTTACAAGCACTGAACATTTGTCCTAAATCCAAACAAAAGCACATGAGTATCAGGTCAAATAGATCATTAGAAAATTCCAGTTGCTGAGAAGCATCAACAACTATGTACAAGTAGCGGATACAAATCTGGAATCTGTTTACCTCCAGAAAGTTATCTTGGCGGAGATACTTGCAAGTTACTGCTTTGCCTAACAAGCATGCTTTAGATCCTACTGCACGTTTGACCATCCAATACCCCTATGAATTTACTACCTTAATGTTAATTGAAGTCATCAAAATTAAAAATAAGGGTGAGTTAGTATCATCTACTGAAAAGCACATACCTCTACAATTCTTGGTATAAGTTTAAATCTTGAGTCTCGAAACATGTTAGTTCCATCTAAAAATCTGCCCAACAAGGACTCTTTGTTTATGGGCTTTTCTGCAGCATAATAAAGAACCAAACTGTAGTTTGGTTTTGAGGGAATCTGCAATTTGACGAGACAAAGGAAAGATTAGAAAACTAAAAAGAAAATAGAAATTGATTTAAGAAAAAATGCAGAAAGAATGTATCATAATGACTTTAGTTCATTGACATTGTATTCTACCAGGTTACATTCTTGTCATGCATACAAGTTGATACCTGAAGATGCTGAGTAGGAACTAAAGTTATCATTATCTTGTATAAGTTGGTCGTTTAAGATCCAAAAGTACAATACAATACACCTTGATACACCCATAAAAATTTAATAAAAAATATCGATATACTGACCGTGTCAGTCAGTACACCATTACACCATTGAGTTAGTGGGTTATGGTAGGTAGAAGCAAAAAAAATTAAATTATAATATTTAATGCTTGATAGATAGATATTAGCTATAGAAAAATTGGAAGGACAGAAAATTTGAAGAAAAGAGTAAAATTATGAGAACAGTACACAGACCTCTAAATTTATTATGAGAATGAATGGGAGCCTTTTTCCGGCTTCTGACTGAAAGATAAAAGAAACTACAGTCAGTACTTGCATGATTCAAGTTCACAACAATAATAATTGAAAATAATTGTATCTGTAGCAGTGGAATCTGGAAACTAGGATAGCAATTTGTGTCTTCATAAGATGCTTGAACCATCATCATAGAATAAAAATAATAGACATAACTGTTCCACTTAGCCATGTGCATGTATCTGTCATATGCAATAGAGAGAACATTTAATAGCAAATACCATCAAGAAAAACATAAGGTACCCATCCAAATTGTTTATCAATGTAAAGGATCGAGATGTTCACAATAATTGGATTCCAGTTCCCTGTATTTCTATGGAAATAGATAAATAAAAAAATAAAATAAAATAAGAGGGCTACAGGTAACATTATATGTAAGAGAATTTATGATGAGAAAACAGCATTCTGTTTGGAGTCTTGGATGAAGCAAGTTTTCAAATATGATACATATACCCACTATGATCCAAGAATTAAAAGATAGATAAAAAATGAATGAAGCAAGTTTTCAAATATGTTCCTAAGATCCCCCATTTTGGTTGCTTATCTGTCATAAGAATCAGGGAACATGCAGATTCTTTTCTATGCAGTATACTGAAATTTAATCCATCAAAGGTACAGGTGGTGACAGTTTTAGTACCTGAATGAAGCTCTTGGGATGCAATGCAACCTTATCAATACTATTATCAGCCCTGAACCAGTCAACTCCAATAAGTTTCAAAAGAGGATCTCCTCCAACTATCTGTTTATATCATACTGAGATGTTAGTAACAATGAAAACTGAATAATGACAAGAAACATCTTTATGACAAAAAAATTAGTAAAGGTGATCTAACTACACGAGAAAATAAATCCAAGATGCTGAAAGTTAAAAAATAAGAAACTTCAAATATGATATGATATGCATGAACAAGTAGTTGCCAGTACATGCTTTGGGAGAACACCATTTGATGTAACAGATAAATTTGTCCATGTCATAGTCAAATGGACTTTCTTAATTCTCACCAGAAAGGCAGCTAAAAAATCATGTAAAGGTTGCAATTGTATTAAGAAAAAGTTTGGCTACATAAATTTAGAAAAGAAAAAAAAAGAAGGCAATATAAGAAGCTTTACATGCATAAAACATGGGCACAAGGGTAGTAAAAGACAAGACACTAAAGAAGGGACACAAATTTTTCGTCAAAACTTATTTGATGGAAATATATAAAAAGTTTAAAGTTTTATCAGGGGCTGAGGTTAAAGAATAGGTAGGATGGAGTGATATGATATCACTGATATCACTATGGAACTATCATGCCACAGGTCAAAGGTCTAGAATTCAGAGGCAATAACATTCAGGACAGGATAATTGCTTGTTGTTTGTTGCAAAGCACTGCAGTTAGATCAGTACAAAAGTAAATTACTTTGACATACCCCTAAAAAGCATATATTATGAAGGCAGCAATAATCACATTTAGTGTTGCACTGCTATATCAGCTAAACTGCAACATAGAATGACCAAAATTTGAACAACCAGCAATATGCTTACGTATGGAATCTAAGATTTCAAATCAAGCAAGCAATATAAGAGAATTTAGATGTTCTACAGAAACTTTTAAGTGTCAGAATAGAAGCAAGGAATACATGCAGCAAGAAAAGCTTTAGCAAACATTAAACAGTTGCATCAGTTGTCAAGCAAAAAATAAGAATA